GCCTTAAATCCTGCAGAAATACAAGGAAGTCTCATGATATGTTGATTTACAGACTTACATTGTCAGGTGAAGTATGTGCTAATTTACAAAATTACCAAAAGTGTCAGAGAAAACCCCTATCCCACAAGAAAAATAAGAGCAGGGAGTATTAAAAAGCCGCACCAAAATTGCAGAACAGTTTCCATCTTGTACTAAGCGCAGAGAAGTTTTGGGAGCAGCAAGGAGAAAGGTAACAGCACCCTGCCTCAAAACATCTGCCCTAAGGGGATCGTGCCTTTCGGTGGGAGCAGCCTCATGTGGGAGCCGGGGGGCGGGGAGGGGACAGCCATAACTTCGCAGGCCGAAAAAAGAAAGGAACCTTCTAAAAATTACCTCGAATGTCTCAGGTTCTTTCTACTGGGTACAAATAAAAGGGACGAGAAACGTTGGGTGAGGGAATTTAATTCATCACAGAATCAAAATAGGGGAGCTGACCTGCGACTTCCTTTATAGTGCAAAGTAAAGGGAGTGAATGGCGCCGGTTATACTTTAACTCTGGAGGAATCCGGGGAAAGAAGAAGGGCGGGTTTACAAAGGGGACGGGATTTTTCTGCCTCTGCCCGGCCGCAGCCCGGGCTCCATCCATCATGTCAGCCGTGCCCGGCCGTGCGCACGCGTGCCGGGCGGGGGGCGCGGATGCTCTCGGCCGAAATGGGTCTCTGGGGACAGCACCCAGCACAGTTTGCTCACTGAGGGCCCTTGCCTACATCCGCGGGCTCCCATCCAGCCAAACTCGAGCGGGAACGGTCCAAAGGCAAAACAAAGCGAATAAAACATCCCCCAAAATGCTCCAAAAGGTGGCCTGTAGGATGTCCCGCCAGTGTGTTCCGTGCCGCCCTGCACCATCGCTCTCGGGTGGCTCTTTCCCTGCAGTGGCCCGGGTCCTTCCCTGGTGTACTCTGCTCTCTCCCTGCTATGGCCCAGTTTGCCCTGACTCCTGCCTGGTGGCCCTGCTCCTCTCCTTTTGTCCTTTGGTCCTTCTTTGGGTCCCCTGCTCCTTCCCAGCCCTCCCCCGGATGGCAGGCCGAGGCCGAGGCTGCCGGGGTGCCGGAGCCGTCCCGTGCCAGCCACTACCAGCCGATTTCCCCCTCTAAAAGTCTCTTTTGTGTCCCGGCTGTTTCCCTCCCCAGGTGGCTGCGAGTGGCCCGGGCCGACGACGTGAGGCGCGGGGCGGCGGTCAATGTTATTTGAGCGGGGGCCGCGGGCCTCGGCAATCGCAGAGCAGAGGATGCAGAAAGCCGCCTACTACGACAACGCGGGGCTCTTCGGGGGCTACACCTACAGCAAGGCCGACGCCTACCCCTACGGCGCGGCCCACCAGCCCTACGGCCAGGCCGGCCTGGACGGCGAGTACCCCGGCTCCGCCTGCTCCGTCCAGGGCTCGGCGCCCGGCCGCGCCCCGGCCCACAAGGGCAGCGAGCTGAGCGGGAGCTGCATGCGGCCCGGCGGGGGCGGCCCCGGGGGCAGTCAGCCCCCGGGGATCGGCGAGCACCAGCCCCCGGCCCTGCCGCCCTCCTCCCCGCCCAACCCCCCTCCCAGTGTGCCCCCTCCGAAAAAAGCCAAGGGGGGCCCCAACTCCTCGGGCTCGGCCAGCGCCACCCTCAGCAAGCAGATATTTCCTTGGATGAAGGAGTCCCGGCAGAACTCCAAGCAGAAAAGCACCTGCGCCCCCCCAGGTAGCCCAAAACCCTCGCCCCGACCCATTGCAGCCCGGAAAGCCAGGCTGAGTCCCGCGGGCTGAACCCGTCGGGCTGAGCCCCCTGGCTCCGGGCCTGGTCTGCTGCTCCTCTAGCTGCCATCGCCCACCTATCCCCCACCCCACTGAGGGGTCCCAGCCCTGCCGGGCGCTGCAGGTGGGACAGGCTGGGGGCGGGTGCCGCTGGTGGTCTCTGGGGGGAGGCAGCTGCGGGACGGTGTGCATGTCGGGCAGCGAGGAGTGGGAGGCCGCCCCCGGGCCCTCTGCACCCCCTCCCCGGGCGCCGACAGAGGGTATAGCAGGTTTCCGAGGGACCCCGGGAGGAACGGGGGGCTGTCTTTCGTGTGGGGAACCAATGTCTCTTTGTGCCTCTTCCCCGCAGGAGAGAGCTGCGAGGACAAGAGCCCCCCCGGGCCGGCCTCCAAGAGGGTGCGAACAGCGTACACCAGCGCGCAGCTGGTGGAGCTGGAGAAGGAATTCCACTTCAACCGCTACCTGTGCCGGCCGCGCCGCGTGGAGATGGCCAACCTCCTCAACCTGACCGAGCGGCAGATCAAGATCTGGTTCCAGAACCGCCGGATGAAGTACAAAAAGGACCAAAAAGCCAAAGGCATCATGCACTCCCCCGTCGGACAGTCCCCGGACCGCAGCCCCCCTCTGAGCGGCCCGAACCACGTCGGCTACTCCAGCCAGCTCCCCGGCGTCAACAGCCTCAGCTACGACGCGCCCTCGCCCACCTCCTTCGCCAAGTCCCAGCAGAGCATGTACGGGCTGGCCGCCTACACGGCGCCGCTGAGCAGCTGCCTGCCGCAGCAGAAGCGCTACGCGGGCGCGGAGTACGACCCCCACCCCATGCAGAGCGGCGGCGGCGGCTTCGCCAACCCCAGCCTGCAGGGCAGCCCCGTCTACGTGGGGGGCAACTTCGTGGACTCCATGCCGGCCTCGGGCCCCATGTTCAACCTGGGGCACCTGCAGCACCCCTCCTCCGCCAGCGTGGACTACAGCTGCGCCGCCCAGATCCCCGGCGGCCACCACCACGGACCTTGCGACCCCCACCCTACCTACACGGACCTTTCCTCCCACCACACCTCTCAGGGACGGATGCAGGAGGCGCCCAAGCTCACGCATCTGTAGCGGGGCGGCGGCCAGCGGGGCCCGCTCCCCTCTCCATTACCTCACTTTTCTGACGGGACAGTGTTACTGTGCTCTCGAGTGCCAACAGTATTAGTGGATTTGTCTCCCTTAGCAGCTCCCTTCTTTCTTCCGCAGCCCCGAGTAGGTCCGTGAGCAGGAGCCTTTCTCTTAGAGCTGTTTTAAGCATGACAGTGCAATATACTGCCAACCGAGGGACTGATAAGCTGGTAATGATGTACTTGAAGGTAAGTCTTAGAGATGCTGTAGTGTTAGCAGCGCGTCATGCTGAGGTGTTTTAGACCAGTCGTGAGCCGTCGGAACTCGCCCGCGCGTAAGCTTATTTCAGAGAAGTTAATTTATGAGTTCTTCCGTAACGTAAGGATCGCATTGGACTAAATGATATGTATTTATTATTTTAAGCGAGACATTTTTTGTATCACTGATTATTTATCCTCGTCTTAATGTATTTATGTGGGTATTTGTAGAGTTTCTTCACCAATACTTCGGGAGAGGGATTCAGGTCCGTGGTGACTTACATTTCACCTATTTAGTATAATCGGTCTGAGCTAGTTGAGAGAGTAGTCTTGAACAGTTGTAACAGTGGCTGGTGTTTGTAGTTTATGTAAGGATTAATTAAGACAGCAAGTCGTAAATCATTAATAGAGTAAAACAAACTGTGGCATCACACAAAGAGCCGTTACACTTAAAAAAATATTGAAAGTATTTTTAAAGTATTTATTTCTAACCGGCTGGCCCCACTCGAGCTCCTCGGTGGCGTGGCTGGCAGCTGGCTCGGCCGCGTGAAGCCACCTTAGCTGGAAGCGCAGCCGCTTGGAGGAGGCGATCTACAAAGAGGGGCTCTTGGCCATCTTGGTTCAGATCAAATCCTGCATATAAAAACCTCGGTGAGGTTAACATTTATTTATTGGCTGGGTATCTATCGCGCATATTATTTCAGTGGGGTATTTTCTTTTTTTTTGTTTTTTTCTTTTTTTTTTTAATTACACTCTGGCTATCCAAAATAGAAAAGAAATTAGGAGCTTAGAAGGCAAAAAAATTAGAAACCCTCTGATAGTGCTAATTTCATTAGGGTCTCCATAGCAATCCGCGCAGCAGCTGCCACCTCCTTTGTTATTTTTATACTGTTGTCTTTATACTAACCATAAATCAATTTTTAGACATCTTTGGAAGGCCGAGCTTTTCCTCTTGTGGTTTTTTTTTTTTTTTTCATAAATATAAACTTTGAAAGAAAATTGACAATCAGATACACACAGCCGAAGGGAGACGCGGATTCGGGGTGCGGGCAGTGCTGGGCGGTGCCGCCGCGCTGCCCTGGTGCCCGGCAAGGACAGTCCCACCCGGCCTGACCGCGGCAGGGGGGCACCGCCACCTCTCCCTGCCACAAACAGGACGCTTGGCACGGGGAAGAAAAAATTAAAGTAACAAGAAGATTAAAAAAAATGGAAAAAGAAAGGGAACGATGCTCTGAACCCTGGTGTTTCCTCCTCTCTAGTTACACGGCTGTATTGAACTCGCTGGATTTACAGAGATACTTCTTTTGTAAACGCTGTGATTAAAGTCTCTTCCTGACAGTACATATCGCTCTGAGAAGATTATTCTTGTCTCTTTCTAAAAGTGTCGAGTTAAATATTAATCCAAACTTCTCTATTCCCCACCAAAGTGTCTGATGCATTGCTTTCCAGTCTGGCAAACACTGCAGCTCCTACTCCACCCTCTAATGACAGACCTGGCATTCCTATTGTGAGAAATATTTTGCCACCTCCCATCCTGGTCAATACAGACAAGTTTTCTTTTATTTATTCTTCTTTTCTTTCCCATCCCATCCCTGCTTTCTTCCTTGCCATTTGGTATTTATGTTCAGCTGAACACTAAGGATTCAAAATTTTACTTAGGGTTTTGTTTTCCCCTCTATGAGATTTCAGCAATGCTGTGATACAGTGAAAAGTGTACCTTTTGTTAAATTCCACTTTTAACCAAGCAAATTTGGATATATGTGTTACAGATCTGTAAACAAAATGGAACAGAATAAACTTCTTTGTTTGGAGACATATTTTAACCCTTTTAAGCCCTAAAATTGTATTGTATGGAAGTTTTCACACAAATTGTTTCTTAGAAGCATCACCCAGAAGTAAACAAAACATACAAACAACACAAAAAGTATTGCTAGACACCACTTGTGATTGATACTTCTGTAACATGCCATGAATATATACATACGTTTGTCTCTCCAAAACTTTCTGCAATCAATGTGCTCACAAACAAAATTGTCCATGTAGGTTTTTTGTGTGTTCTTGAAGCACAATATGTTTTGTATCACCTGCTTCTATCGGTGAAACAGCAAGGCACCAGGACACCCAGTGTCCTTTTCCCTTTTGCTTTGTGCTCTGTAGGCTGCTAGTCAAACAGGGTCTGCCCCGACTTACACTGTTAGTCCTTCATCAAATCTGTTAAGAAAGAAAAGGCTGTTTAGAGATCTGGGGAAGGAAGGGAGCTCAGAGGAGCCCTGACCACAAACACGGTGTTACTGAGGCCCACTGTCCTGAATCACTTTCATGTTGCAGAAAGATGGGGCCAGCAGATATGGTTTCCAGTGGGGGAGGAGGAGGAGCTTGTGTGAGGGAGAATCTTCTTGTAAATAAACTCACTTTCTTCTCCGTGACTCTGGCAGAGGCGTCTTCTTTGTAATGCAATAGAAGTCCATGATGATAACCTAATTATTAGAAGTAATGTAACTTTAGCAAGGTTGCTGGCATTTTTACAATGTTTGTACAAGCATCAGCAATCTAGAGGAGAGATACACTTTGGCACAAGCCAGACTTTTTCTTGGCCCATCATTTAAAACCCATAAATTATCAACAACCCCCTTTCACACTCAACAGGAGCTCAGCTCCTTTGCAACAGCATCTGATGTGATGAACTCCAGTCACCTATTTAAAACACAACTAGTCAGCTAAGGCCAGGCCTGGGGCTGATCTCAGCTTTGCCTTTCTTTTCAAATAGCCGCCACAGCACCCCTTCCTCTCCTTCCTCTCCTTCCTTGCTCCCTCCCTCTGCTCCAGAGCCATAAAAGTGAGCCAGGCCCTCTAAATGCTGGCAGTGATGTTGCACTATTTGGGATAGGGAGCTGCTGACAGCACTGGTTGAGAGATATCAGGGGTGCACGGAGCTTCAGTGAGACCATGTGAGTTATTTTGTTCAGATCAGTGGGGTTTGGGTCTCCACTTTCTGGTTTGGCCTTTACAGTAACCCACCATTTGATGGCATTCCAGCAGTTTCCCCAGTGCAAAAAGGAGCTGAGGCTTTGTGTTATCTCCATGCAGTCAGTGCAGGCTGAACCACCCCTTTGCATCCTGTTTCTTTTTGAGGGGGGGCCCATCACTGTCCCACTGTGCATGGCCTGGTTAGCAGCACCAGGGCAGGGAAACCTAGACAGGCACAGCCAGGGGCTTCCAAGGATGCTACAGTTTTGTTGGTGCCACTTGTGTTTGGCTAGAAAAACAAAGCCAAATGCCTCCTGCTCCATTAGCAAGTACTTCCTGAGCAGCCACTGCAGGCTCCCAGCCCTGGTCCATGGGCAGGCCAGGGAAGGACTCGGGGACACCCCCATGGCTTCCACTATGAGACCACACCAGGGTCACCTGGGGCTGCAGGCAACCTTGTCCAAAAATGAAGAGGGTGCAGCTGGCTGCACACCCAGGGGAAAAAAAAAACCAACAGGGGGATGGGGCTGCTGGTCTACCACTGGGAGGGTGCCTTCCTGATAGCTGTCAGCTGAGGAGAGAGGAAAGGAGCTGCAGGTTGTGATGCCATCCTTCTACATGCCAGCCTGCTGTGCGTGCCCAGTGGCCACACACAGTGGCAGCCTGGCAAAGGCACAGTGTGCTGCACGGTGGGCAGGCCCAGATGCCCAGCACTCCACTGCAGACCTGCCTGCAGTGAACCAAAGCTGGAGCTGGGTGGGCAGCACAAGGGGGCTGGTGCTGCCGGGGCAGGTAGGGCTGTGGTGGTTGGCTGGGTGTCACATGATGTTATACATTGATGAACAACATACCTCTGCTTTTAAAAGGTGCAAGGTAAGCTGGACCAGAGCTCTGTTGGCTGCAGCCACTTTCCAGGGATTGAATGGCAAGGGAATCCCTGAACTGTTAAGGTCTCTCTGTTCCCATGCGAGAGGCAGCAGTGGGTACCCCGTGGTGCTTGCTTGGAGTGGGGCTGCCAGGGGAGTGAGAGGGCTGGCTCTCTTAAGGGTCATCAATCACACAAAGAGCACTTTTTGCTCTACAGTAGGTCCTCCTACTTCTGCTTGGACCTGAGCCAGCTGGGACTGGAGCAGAAACCCCATCCAGCAGAAGCAGAATGCAGTCCCAGAGCCTGAGAGCCATGGAGTAACAGGGCAGGACTGAACCCCTTTGGTCACATAGGCTAAGATACAAAATGGGACTCAGTGAGGTATCTGTGCCTGCACACCCCTAAGCCTCTGCAGATGCTGCTCAGGAGCAGAGGTGAGTCTTTGTTCCCCCTTTTGGATCCCAGGGTCCTGAAGCTTTATGAATGTTCTGGGATGAATTACAGAAAGACTCAACTACAATAACAATAAGCACAAAGCAGAGTGAAAACAGCAAGGAATTCGTACTAGACAGGATGGATATCTTCTGGGTAAAAAATACTCATGAATGTAGGATTTATTTGCTGACATGCAGTTTTTTTCTTGCAACAGAAGTTTTGGGAGCAGTAGGCAATCCCATGCTGAGTGAGATACACAGCCTCAATCTTTCCTCTAAGAAACATTTTAGGAACTTTGGGAGCAAGAAAGGTGACAAGACAGAAATCTTGGCTGCAAACTCATTGACACCCATTTTGCACACAGCAGCATGGCTTACCTTGACACTTCTGGGTTATCAATATGTGTAATAATTCTGTCCCAAAATTCACAGCCATGGGACTGGAAACAGGGCTTTACATGGCAAGGGGCCAGGGTGGAATCATTCTTCAGAGCAAATATTTACAGAAGAAGGGATGGACTATCCTCTTCTCTGTGTCCATATAGAGGATCTTTGTTGTTGATCCTACATACTGGGAGAACAGAGGTTCCTATCTCAGGAGTCAGCTGGGAAAGAGGAACTTGTGGCAGGGAAACATTGATGGCAGAAACACCTCCTCCTGAGGGTTGCTGAGACTGCCTGAAAGGGCTGTGCTAGTGGGAGAGCTGAGGGTGGCTCCCTCGGAGTGCCAGAACAACTCCCTGGGTCTCTGTGCATCCCTGGGTTTATTCACATTTTACAAAATGAACTCCCAAGAGCTTCCCCTCCTTCTGCAATAGCCTTTCTCACAGGAGCCTTAGGTGGTTGGTTTGTGCTAACAGGGCCACTGCTTAAACACCCAGTGTTTGCTTCTCTCCCCTCAGGATGCCCACCCACACCCCAGCTGTCTCCACACCATGGATGTACATCCCCACTGAGCACTGAGAACCAGCTGTGCCAGCTGGCAGTGCTGTAGCAGCAGAGGGGTAAGGACAAGGTAATGTTGAGCCACAACTTGCAGGCCTGGGGGCTGGGGAGGGATCTGCTGGATCTCCTGCGTGCTGGCTACTGTGACCAGCACAGAGGGTGGACTCCTGTTCTAGGGAGACTGTCACATGCCCCAGCCTCAGAGCAGTGTCTGGGGGCTGCCACTGCCCCCAACACACGCTGCTCGAGCAGCCTCCCTCAGGTGAGGGGCTGGTGTCTGCACCCAACGGGACTCAGGGCTTTTTGGCTGGACTTCCTCCTACATCATGTCTTGGTTCCACAGTGGCTTTCTCAGGCTTTGTAGAGGCCCACATGCTTCCAGAAACAAGGTGACACATGGACTTTGAAACACATGGTGACACAAGGACTCCTTTGGTCCCTTGTTCTCACAGAGGTTTTTGCACCATCAGCTCCCCTGTCTCACCATCACTTGATTACTCACACAGGCATCCCTAAACCTCCCAGCCATTCTCAAATTGTCTCTGACAGCATCATGTTCTTTACATTCTTTTCCCCCCACTTTTCTTCTTCCTTCTTTTGGCTTCCAACAAGTCTTTCATCTTTTCCATTAGACTCCTTGTAAAAAAAAACAGCTTTAGTCACTCTATTCTCTATCACTGGAACTTAACTATTTAAGTCTGAACACTGAAATTCCTGCGTGTAGAAAAAGCCTTCCCTTTAAAGCCAAAGCATCAACAAGAGATGTTTTGCCTGTATTTAGCCACTGATTTCTGCTTTTGTCACCCTTGAACATCCTGCCAAAACAAACAGGTAATGAACAGGAAACTCGTAACAGCATCCAGCTGGGTAAATGGAAAGATCATATGTTGGTGTGAACACAGACAGCTTTTCTAGCACTTAAAACAGTCTTAGGTGTAATTAAACCAGTTTCATTCTGCAAACACAAGACCCAAGTAAAGCAGCAGCCCTGTTCTGAAGCCAATTTTCTTTCCTTCACTGCAGGAAGGAATTTTTACAGCAGGGGAGACTGAAGAGCACAGATGCTCTGCTGCATGGACAGCCATTCTCTGCTAAAGAGAAAACCTGGTGTTCCCAGGCTCCTGATTTTTCAGAAGATAACATTTTCCAAACTGCTCTGATTGTCATGGGAGTGCTGAGAAAGTTTGCATCATCCAGAATTTAACCCCTTACTCAAAATGTATGTTTCCTAAAAAGTGTATTTGATTTAACTGTTCTTTATTTATACTCACACCCTCTGAAAACAGAAATTTAGGTGATCCTCCATTATTAGAGTACCAGGGCAGCACAGCCCATCAGAGTGAACAAGTCTGTGCCAGGAGAACACTGTGTCAGGACTCTGAGATTTCAGTGACTGCTGTGTCTGTAGACTTGAAGTTCAGGCATGCTTAAGACATAATCCCTACAAAGCCAGTCTATTATTGCTCTGCACTAGCTGGTTTATAGTAGAAGAACAATATTAGCTGGGGAGAAAGTAGGGCTGAGGCCATGTCACTGATCAGAGTCCCTGTGCAGGGAAGTGCTCCTGTACCCTTGCAGGATGTGCATGCCTGTCCTAGCGATGTGTCCTCTCAGGGCCCCTGCAGGAAAAACCCAACAGATCTGCTCTGAATTCATCAGCTGGGTATAATGGTGGAGCTGAGCTGCAGAGCATAAATCTCCACGGGAAAGAGTTGATACTGAGTCAGGAAATGGTCTGATTATGTCTCCCCATTATATCCTTTTCCTGTCACCAGTCTGGCCCTCTGAAATCCACAGGAGATCCAGTGGAATGTTTCTTCTCTGAGGATTCTGGTTGCCTTCATGAGGTTGGCATCATGCACGGTCCTTGCAAAATTTGTGGCCTCTTCCTGACCACAGCAAGTGGCACTTCTGCCAAGAGCTTGTAGAGTTCCTTGAGCTGTTGAGTGAAAGGCACTGGATGATGGATGAAGGCATATAAATTTCATGCTTTTATTTAGAAATAAAAAATATATTTTTAATAATGCACAACCCTTGCATTTCCCAGCTGACTCCACATCCACCTACAAAGAATTAGAAGGTTGCAAGTCTAATTCAAAGCAGCATGATGAAGCCCTTCTTCCTATTCCTTGTATGTCCAGTCCCAAGTCACCAAAGCCCAGGTGTACGCTGCCCAGCACACCCTCCTGCTGTTCTGAACTGCACTGGCACTTGGTTATATCACATGGTTATCAAGGCATTGGATGAAACCGATCATTACCCAAATCAAACATCACCGTGGCCCAGACTGGATGGTCAAGTGTCACTTGGAGACATTTAGGGAAAGATGATCATGTCGGGAGTCCAGATTTCGCCTCCTTCACCTTGTTGCTGTTTCCTGCCATTCTGGGGGATGGAAAACCAAGAGAGAGTTGGACGATTTGGCTGGGTAGAGCAACTTGGTGCTCTCTGCCAGCTGTAAACACTCAGTAAACAATGCTGAATCGCCAAGGGAAAAATAAAAGTCCATTAACGGTGTGAGCCTGTTAACGGTGAGGAGATTCATTTTTGAGAGACTGCAGAGCACTTATCTGATGGAACGAGACCATTAAGTGCCATGAGGTGCAGCAGCAACCCGCCCCTCGCCCCAGCCTCCGGGTGGGGAGACCTGGGTGTGCCCCCGTGGGAGCGCCCGGGAGTCTGGCCGGCTGCAGGGCGAGGGAGAGCGCAGACCTGTACCCGGCTAGCGGCAAAGCGCCGGCTCACTCACCTGCTGAACTCCCGGCAAACGTCCCGAGTGCGCGGCGACTCCGCGATTCCCGGGGGAATCCCGGCGCGGCGGGCGGCCCAGCCGCAGCCCCGGGCAGCCCCGGGCAGCCGGCCCGGGCAGGGGAGCTGGCAGCGCCCGGGACCCCGGCTCGGGCTCCCCGCTCCGGGCTGCCATTGGCCGCGGGGCGGGACGTGCCGCCCCGCTCCAGGGCCTATATAGGGCACTATTGCCCCGGCGGGCCGCCGTGTTGCCCCGTGGGTCATGGACCTGGGGTACTTTGCGCTCGCCTTCCCGCCGGGGCTGTGCCGCGGTGCCCCGCAGGGCCCGTACCCCCGAGGAGGGGACGACGCCTTCGTGTCGCTGGGCACCGCGGCCAGCTCGCCCTGCCCCGGGGCCGCCCCCGCGCCCGCCTGCCCGGCTCCCGCGGCGGCCCCGGCGGAGCCCCGCACCTTCGAGTGGATGCGAGCGAAGCGGAGCCCGCCCGGGAGAAGTGAGTGGGGCGGCGGGGAGCGGGCGGGGGCTGCTCCCATCCCGGCTCCCCTCTGCCCTTCTCCTGCCTCGACCCGGTGCCTTTGCCCCCGCTGAAGCGCGGTGTTTTTCGGCGTTGCAGGCGGTGCGGCGCCGTGCGGGGGGGAGCCTCCCGCCTGCTCCGCACGCACCAGCTTCAGCACCCGGCAGCTCACGGAGCTGGAGAAGGAGTTTCACTTCAGCCGGTACCTGTCGCGGGCCCGCCGCCTCGAGGTGGCCCGCTCGCTGCGCCTCCGCGACGCCCAGGTGAAGGTGTGGTTCCAGAACCGCCGCATGAAGCAGAAGAAGCGGGAGCGGGAGGCGCTGGCCGCGCCCGCCGCTGTCCCGGGCGGCCCCGCCTGAGGCTCCGCCGGGGCTGCGCTGGAAGCTGCGGCCGCCGGGGCACCGGCTGTGCCTTCACGGGGACCGCCGCTGTGCAGTTCCGCTGCTTTTTCTGTTGCAACTTTATGTACAGCTTTATTTATGAGGATTCAGGGAAAACCGCCGGCCCGGAGCGCCGCTGCTCTGTGCCGGACCGGGCCGAGGCAGCGGGGGTGCAGCTCGGAGTTAGCGGAGAGCGCCGCTCCCCCAAGGCAGGGCAGCGACCGGCTCTGCCAGCTCCCCTGGGTTCGGGAGGAGGTGGGTGCGTGGAGGGGCTGCCCCGTGCTCCCGACCCTTTCTTCGTTTTGCATTTAAAAGGATAGATCCATGGGCTCAGGCAGCGCTGGTACAGAAGGGGAGAAACCCCGAGAAGGGAGAACAGGGAAACTTCCTCTTACAGGAAGGGTCAGGGATGGTCATGGCATGAATCCAAGATCCCATTTTGAAAGAAGTGTCCTTGTCTTCTGCCCTGCCCTTTGCAAAATTGCTGCAAAAAAGATGCTGGTTTTGCTTGTATTTATTCATCATTCATTCACTCATTCATTCATTCATTCATTCATTCATTCATTCATTCATTCCCATTTCTTTTCCTGATGTGACTGATGTAGTAAAAATCTGATTTTGACAGAAAAAACGTCGAGGTAAAATTTAAAAAGAAATAAAGTCTTAAGAGGAGCACCTTTTCCCTTTTGAACTGCAGAGGTGCTGGGATTTCCCTTGCAGAGGCTCTGGGCAGCCCAGGACTGGCCACTATGCTAACTCCCAGCTCCCCTCACATGTCTGTAGACAATATAAAGGCACTTCCAGCATCTAGGGCCAGAATCAGTTAATTTAGCCCTCTCAGCCTTCATTGTATCTCATGGTTAAAAAATTGCATCATTATAAATCTGTTTGGAACAAATCTCACCACATGCAAAACCTCAAGACCCGTTGAAGCTCAGAAAGATGCTTGGGTTTGACCAAAGACTAATGCTGGCAAAAGGGAAGAGGATTCCTGGGTCTTTTGCTTGGATACTTGCACAAAAAAGATTGGCAATGTTCCCATAGATAAAGTTACAATATCAACGTGGACAAAGGAACCAAGCTTAGACTTTTTTCCCATTTGTGCGTGGGAAAGCAAAACAGCAATGTGGAGAGGAATGACATCTGGATTTACATGAAGGTGATTTTATTTATTTCTGGACAGGACTTTTATTATGGACAAGCCTCTTTCTGCCCTGGATTTCTGCTGAGTATTGGACTTTGGGGTGAAAAACCAATTATGGGACTAGGGGAGATAGACTTCAAGGGGACCTGTGAAGTACACTGGGTCCCCTGTCTGGAAGCCAGCTCCAGACACCAACAACTATTTGTCTTTGTTGGATGCTTGCTGGGTAAAACGAACACAGAGAGAAGATGAAGATGGATGTCTCAAGTCAAAAAGCCTGCAACGAAGAAGATTTTTACTCTCTGTAATACTTTCCATCCCCTCAGGTGCCCTTCTGCTTAAGGCTTTCTTCTGAAGACTTCTGCGGAGGGACTGGGAAGCCACTGCTGATGGAAGCTTCAGCAGAGTTTGGTGGGAACCCTGGGAAACTACTCCCAAAAGCTGGGCAGGCAAGTTATGGTGATGTTGTGGCAACAAATCCATGGCTAAACGGGGCCAGAAGCCTCCTTGGCAAGGAGATGGATGTTCCCCCTAGTGAGCATCCGAAGGAAGGGACTTCCCAAGACAGAAGGGTTTGGTCACACATCATATCCTGACCGTATCAGCAAAGGACAATGCTGCTAGAGGCTCACGGTTGTGCATGCACACAGGCACATTTTTGTTCTGTACATAGAGTTATGGTTCATGTCCCTTGGGCTGCTTCACTTCGTGGCATAACCCTAAAAATTCCCAGGACTGAAGTACTCGTGTGAAACTAGCTGCAACCAAAATGTGTGGTTTGCAGTTCCTCATTAAAGTAATGACACCAAACAAGTGTTTATACTGCAGGCTGATCATTCATTAAAAACCAGGAAATAATATTTCTGCCACTTTTTTTTTTTATTTTGAAGATGTTACTTAAAGCAGAATAAAGCAAAATCTGGTAAAATTAATGAAGATTTGAATAAACCAAATTTGTTTTGCGAGCTGGATTTTAAAGGCAAGTACACTACTAACCAGCCCTTTTCTGCAGCTGTTTTTAAGGTGGATTTTTATGAACTCCTCAGTTACTACTCTTCTACTCTTTAATTTTTTTTTTTAATAATACAAATAAGCATAGACATACAGCTGGAATAACCCATTTTTCTCAGAACACATGTTTCACATACAAACTCTAGAAAACAGCTGTAGTTTCAGTTGCCTCCAAATTTGCCGCATGTCTATGGGGTTGCTTGTTTGTTAGCCTTTTATTTTCCTAATGATTTTGACATTTGTGCCAGGCACTTCAGGCCAGAGGAATGCTTTCTGTACTGCTGGCACAGTCCTGCATTACCAACACGGAAAGAAAGATTCTCATTGATTTCAATGCTGCTGGATCAGACCATTAGAGCACACTAAGTCTTTTACAATGAATGTTTTCGTGACATATATTTTCCTGAATAAATAAATACATGTCCTGGCCTTGTAGCAGTGCACAGTTCTGTATCCATCAAAATGACACAGACCGAATGCACAGAGATTTACTCTGAAATTAAGATGAAACCTTATGACTCTCTTATGGCAGTCTGAATTTGGTGGTATGAGCACAACTATATTCTGTCTTAAGAACCCGTACTTCATATTAATTGTGATTTCTGCTCACATGACAGGGCCAGTTTAATAGGATCTTTCTCTTCACAAACAGTTCTAGCTGTATGGGGATTAGATATTGCTCCTTTGCACTATTCTGTAAGCAAGCTACCCAAAGGAAGGAGCTAATGCAAGTCATGTGGCAATTCTTAAATAATTAAATAAAAATGCCTGTGATATACATGTGTGCACACATGAGACAAATAAATGATAGATAAGGTCTAAGATTCACTCATTTAAACTTAATTCCAAGAGTTGTGTCTCACACATGCTCAATTTGGTGCCCAGCAGTTGGAAACAAGTTTTAGGTTTGGCAGATAGTTTTAAGAACACAAGCTGCAGTTTTCACTGCAATCGGAACAAAATATTCCAGACTGGACTCAATAGATACCCACTGCCATATAATTTTTCACAAATTATGAAACTACTATTTCCTGACCTTATTTTTCTTCAGCCATCATCAGAAACCACAGAAAGACCATTCTCTTTCAGTCACATATTAATTTTTGCCTACTGACTGTTGCTCAAAGGGCCCCAGGCTACAAAGGGATATGAACAAAGTAATTTTTTATGTGTTCCCATTTTGCCTCAAACAGAACAAAAATATTGATTTGGAAGGCTTCCAAGAAGAAAAAAAATTGTAAAATTACTGTTCCTAAGTGGTATATGTGAATGTAGAGATTTAATACCTTTTGGATAGGTAAATGATAAAAGAAGAACGCACCTCTTTGGAAACCAAGTTTAGGCAAGAACTCAGGCTTGCCTGGGTATCTGTCTTCCCAAGTGGACCAGATTTAGTGTGTTACTAAATTGGAATTACAGCACAGGAAACACTTTGCTCAGAGTCAAACCAACGACTCTCTTTTATGGTATGAGCTGCATAGCCAGGTTTATTTTGACCATGCAAGTAGCCAGCAGCAAGCTAGAAAACAAAAATATGTAACCCAACCCCCACATTTTAATCTCCTTTTGAAAGTGTCCCTCTCCATTATTTATTGGTACAACCTGGAACTGTGGTTTATGCTAACAATGGTACATATTGCTAGCAGAGGAGAGCAGACTATTATTTCTTCTAAGAAAATCTTTGCAGACAAAATTACAAATTGCAAACACCTCCTTGGAGTTCCAAGAACTTGTCTCTAGCAGCTAAGAAATCATACTTATGATTTGTCCTCTGTTAGCCTAAGTGCCAAGGAACCCCTAAGAACGTTTGCAAATCTCTGACAAATGAAGAGAAATAGATATGGAGAGAAACCCCAATGAGACATGGCTGTTACCAGTTTATCATTAACAGGTGGCTGAAGTTTAGGGGACACACATTCTGTTCTATTTGCAATATCTGGCTACATACAGCTATGTGTTTATGTGATTCACGCAGTCTCAACCATTGTTTTTTTATAACTTTCCCTAATGTCAGTGAACTAAGGAGTCTTTGGCAAAGGAAAGTCACCCTGATAAAGAAAGGTGAACCAAATGACAAATCATTCTTCTCCCTATCACAACAATGTCTGTTACTCACACGTTTACTTAACCACATCTCTAAGGTGCCCCCCAAGTAAATATATATGGAAAAGATGCTTCACAGAGCCAATGTTTTACTGTAGTTTAGCTTTATCTGGAAGTCTTTTGCTGTTCTTGATCATCAGCCAAGTGAACAAAGTAACCCTCAGCTGTAAATCTTCCTTGGCTGTTTAAGCCAATTTACTCCTACATAGGGTGTTAAAATCTCTGCTGGAGATACAGTCCTGAGACCTTTTTGAAAACTGGACAAGTCTTCCTTTATACTGAAGAAATTTAGACCACTGGTCCACAAAAGAGCTTTTCATAAACAATTTTGGTACTTTTGAGTTTTTGTTTCTTCAAAAGACAACAGCCACTGGTGATTAGCAGATTGAAAACTACTAGTTTAAGTAAATAAACAAGCACAGGAACAAATCCAGTCAGTTTCTTTTCTACTAGCCTAGCAGACTTCCCATCACCTGGAAAATACATCTTTTTTACTACGCTTCACCAGAAAGCATAGTGTTGCAAAAAATAACTCAAAAAATTATTTTTCTTCTGAAAAAATGTGGCATTTTTAACCAGGATGGTGTATTATGCCTTAGGGAGGTGTTTAACAGGTCTGACTCAATCAGTCTGGCCTATGGCCCTGACCTTAGAGTGAGACCCCTACACTGACCAGCACGGGGGACACACCAACCTGGGTGCTTGAGCCCTTACACAGAGAACAAAGACCTCAGCAATGCATCAATTCATGCTGCTGTGGGTGAGCATAAAGTGCCACCCATGTGTGAATTCAGTGGATCAGGAGACCTGCTTCTGTGGGGCAAAAAGAACCATTCCTTCTGCCCACACAGGGAATGAAGAACACCTGTAACCCAGTAATATGATTTTGGTGACATTAGCATAGCAGGAGAATCTGAGAGCTAAGGCTTTCCTGCCATTACTCTTCATCTTAATGGCTGTGCTACACTAAATCTACATTCCTAATGCCTCTTTTTATGTTCCTTTAACAAGTAAGCTAGATTAAACACTATAAAGTTTAGAGTAGTATTTGAAAATAGATAAAAATATCACTAAATCTTTTAATGACTACTCAGATCCGATTTTGCCCAGTCACTGTTCAGATAATGGAAACAGTTTCTAATCCTGGCAACCTCTAGTATTTGATCCATATCTTAAGCATAGATATTGGTATAATTATTTTTAATACACAGACATTTATAGATTTATAAATTACACAATTTATGTGGAGTGACATTTTCTTCAACATCCAAATGTATCGAATCCAATGATAATTATTAAACAGTGTTAAAAGCCTATCAATAAAATAATCCATCTTTCCCTTTAGAAATCCAGCTGAGTAAATGTGTA